TAAATTGACGTAGTGATCGGTAACCATAGAGAAGCTCTTTAGTAAAACTCACGTGAGAGTGGCTGCTAGACGGTCTCAGACTGCAGGCTGTTGACCCTCAGAGCGTACGCGGCTTGCCAGTTCCGGTCTGTGGGATTAGGCAATCACCCTACATGTGACGTCACCCGTGTAAACAAACGAACTGAGCAAAGGTCCACCGGAAGTGTGTTTCGCAATGTTTAAACGCTGTGGTAGTAGTTTAGCAATATCCAAGCAGTGGTTTGGGTTTTTAGTTATTTTTGGCGTTTTTAGGCTTTTTTTTATATCGGGATTTCTTTTTTGCATTGGACTTTTTTTCACCCGCCCCCCAAAAAATATCCAGTGCAAAAAAAAAAAAGAAACCCCGATAAAAAAGGGTAAAATCATGCCCGTAGCCAGGGGGTTCGGGGTTCGGAAGAACCCCCCACAAGGCTCAAAGGTCTACTTTTTGGTCCACTTTTTATGTAAAGGTCCACTTTTTGGTCCACTTTTTATGTAAAGGTCCAAGATTTTTCTTGAAAAGATGGACTGGAATCGTAGAAAAACTGCTCCCTTTGTCATTGAATAAAAATTTATCTCTGATTTTTTCTTGGAAATCCTCTCAAAAATGCACGAAATGCCATTTTAGAACGTTCATTTTTCAAAATTTTCCGGGGGAGCATCGCCCCGGACCCCCCTAGGAACCTCGCGCCTACGGCGCTCGAAGTCCCCTCAGGCAGTGAGACGAACCCCCCCATTCAAAATCCTGGCTACGGGCATGAAAATATTACACAAAACATAACCTAAACTTCTGCTTTAAGTAATCCCGGCCAAGCAGATCCTAGGGTGGCAAAAGACAGTGTCAAATTGGCCAGCACATCTCTGGTTTACGGATAGTACTAGTGGGCAATTCGATACTCAGTCTTTTGCAAGCCTAGGATCTGCTTGGAGATTAGTATTTTAGAAGGGGTTACCGGTGTTTGGTTTACACATGCGGTTCAACTACATTCCGCCGTGGTCACGTAAAGTTACGTGTAGTGTTGTCTCAATATAGCCATGACATAAGTCATGATCAACATTTGAAGTAAGATTATTATTAGTATTAAGGAGGTTGTTTTCGCTTCCGTTTTTTTTTTTGGTCGTTGGTTTGTTCATCCATAATTTGAAGGAGGTGCATAATTTTTGTAAAACATTTGATTCAACCTCACTGGTTTGTTGTATTTTCGGGAGCGGTAGACTATAATGTTAGTCACTCCTTTGGCTTTAGCGAAACAATTGCAACTCCCTTGGTAAGATCTCTTGTCTATTTGGCCAATTTCTCAGTACTAGTACTCTTTCCAGCCGCTTCTGAAGCCTGGTAGAGACGCGGATTTTTCTGTATAAGTAGTCTTGCCCTAATCTCTGGACAGACCGGTTCAGATAATTTAGGGGTTTAGGGATTTAATCTTTGTAGTGTTAAGTATTGTGGGAAAGGCCACCTTGCCCCGAAGGCCAGTCCAGAGGAATTCTTCTACTGATAACATACAATATACTAGTAACACACATTCCACCGGGAAATAATTAAGAGATACATTGTAGTTGCAAGCCTCTACCAGGCTTCAGGACGTGGCTGGAAAGAGTAGAAATTGGCCAAAAAGATAGAAGGATACTAGTATGCAAGGTGGGTCGGTCCGCGCTGAACTAGCAAACCAATATTAATTTGTTACCCCTTGCCTAGTGATGCATACCTAAACCCAATTTTAGGTTCAGGTCCGGATTCAAGTCCAGAGGTTTAGGTTCAGTTCCGGACTTGTAAGTCTGGACCTAAACCCATGGCATATACAAAATTGCATGTTGGCAACCTCGCAATGTTGTCTGGGTGAAAATTTGGCCACATAACATGGAGGCTGGTACTTGACGATGCCCAATGGCAATGTTTTCTTCGTTTTCCAGCAAAGATTTTGCAATCTTCAGATGGTTTTAGGTGGTTTGGAAAGAAAAGGGATATGTGAAATGGTCTTTTATGGTAATAAGTCCGGACTCGGTTCTTGACTTTTAGGTTTTTTGGACTTGAACCTAAACATTCTTACAAGTCCGGATCCAAGTCCAGTGAACCGGTATGCATCACTACGGCCTTGCCCATTCACTTTCTATTCAATCCTTGATTCTACTTTGTTCACTTGAGTTGAGAAAATATCTCCATTTCAAGAAGATGTAAAAAAAGAGGGACATTACAACAATTCCATGAACAATATTGACAGCATGTTTTAGACAACATCAATGTTTTTATAAAGTTCCATCTTCCCACCCTTGACTTTTAACAGCTTTTCCCCTACAAAAATACAGATACATAATTATAACTTGCATTGATTTGATCGAATGAACGAACCCACACTCACTCACTAACCCTCACTATATATATATTCCTTTGTAATGCTAAATTATCTTTATATAATAGATGTTTCTGTAAATTAGTATTTTGCTTTAGTTGTTCTGTTGATCGCTAATGACATTTTGTATAAATCCTTTATTGTTAAAATGTTAATTTGTTGCATTGTTCAGGTACAGGTACTGGTCCATACCTGTACCTAAACCTCTGTACCTGTACCTGCTGCCATGTTTAGGTACACAGCCCTACATCGGTCCTACTCTTCAAGCAGAGGTTGGATTTTGGCTTATTTTCGGCTTTTTTAACGCTAAGAATTGACATTAAAAAAAAACAGTGCAAAAAAAGAAAGCCCACCAGAAAAGCCCCAAAAATAAGCCAAAACCCAAACCTCTGCTTGTAGAGTACATCAGTCCCATGTCTGCATTTGTGCAAGCATTAAATCTCTGAACCCACAACATAGGGGGTTCCCCAAAGCATCCTGTTTCAACTTAACGAATGACGAGTCTGCTTTACAAAATATATTTATATATTCCAACATGGCCCAAATGACATCATACAAAAAGCCTGCATGACATAAAAGTTTACCCTGTGTTACACAATCTCTTACTGATTAGGCACCATCCCCAGGTCTTGCAGACACGAGAGAACCATTCGCTGAACTACGTATACAGGTGTACCAATCAGAGCTCAATACATTATTTTGTGTCACTATGGAAACCAGTCATTAGCCTGGGTGCCATCCGATTTGTAACGGCTACCCCAAAAAAAAAATTCGGGGTAGCCGTTACAAATCGGATGGCACCCAGGCTAACCAGTCATCACACACAGCCTCCAACACAGGTAACATACAGCAACAGACAGTAACAACAATTGGTCCATGTTAGCACATATGTATAAATCAACAGGATGTTCCCAATTCTCCTGCTTAAAGTGCGATGTTGTCAGGCTCATGTAAGTTTACATGCTGGGAAATAAACAATAACAACACTAGCAATGCTACGGTACATGAATGCAGCTCTATGTGATGATGGTTGATTGAACCTTTAAGAGCCAGACCTATAAATTTGCATAATTTCATCATTACCAATACATTTAATATATTAGATACAAATACAAATTTACCTGACATGAGAATGACTTCCAGGTTCAATCAACCAGCATGACACTCTGACTCTTATAATAAAAGCCCTGATAGCAAATTTGAACATACATATTTTTTATGCATACATGTTTACTAGTACTTATGTCTACAGACTCTACACCAAAAATATATCACTCAAATTAATTATTTGCTGAAGTAGTTTGTAGTAATAATCGTACATGACAAAAATTGTATATTTTCCAAATATCACAAAGCTCTAACCCTAACAAATACAAAAGTTTTTTTCTGCTACTATTGTTATGGTAGCTCTTTCTCTATCTGTACATATTCCACAATGCCAATAGCACATAGTGCAAAAGACTTTCAACACCCAAAAGTGGTTCACTTTTTCACATACAAGTAAGGCAAACATTTTTGAGTCTGCATACATCATACATGTACATAAGGTTCACCTGGACAGTCACCATGTAATCCTTGATAAAAATCTGAACATTGTGACAACTATTTATAAGTGGAAAAAGCGTATTGACAAGATCTTTCAAGTGTAAGGCCCTTAGATGTTTACAGCAAGTCAATGACTGACAAAACAACAACAAAAACAAACAGGTACTGAGACATGTTCACATGTGCCACAAATACAAAACACATCAGACTAGGTATAATTTCACACTCTAAACTTTTAGCACATAAATAAATGGAAGATCATAACAACTAATAACAGAAAGACTTGAATCTGAATGACACACATGCAGCCTGTATTAAAAATATTGAAATATAAAGGGTGGTTTTATTAGTTCACAGTTTTTGTAATGACCTTTTTAAATGTCTACTTTTATCTCCAAATGCAAAAATAAGTTCCCTCCAACTTAAATTAATTTACAGTACATTTGATCTTTCTTTTCTTTTTTCAAATCAGGCCATGTTGATTTGATTAATAAATGGATGACATCCACATGCGCATGAAGTTTCGTCTGTTCCAAAAAAAAAAAGAAAAATCTTTGACCACACTGTAAGTCGTACAAAGCAGCTACAAACTGAGAGCAAATTTATGCTGTAAGGCCACACCAATTTAATTTGTTGGTTCTCGGATTTTTTCAGAAAAAATATGAAGCGACAGGGCGAAAAAAAAATAAAAATAAAAACAGGTCTTGGCATCCTATTATAGCCCTAAATGCTACAATATGAGCCATGAAGTCAACAAAAAAGGCTGGGTTAAAATTTAAAGTATAAATTTTGAACTTTTAATCAAACCACTGCATTGATAGATGGAAAAAACTGTAACAACTAGGAAGAAAAGGAATTTCCTCAACTGTTGGGGGCAAAATATGAGCATTTTTGAGTTGATTCAGAACCAGAATCTTTTTTTTTTTTTTTTTTGCAAATCAGAAGAAAATGAAGAGGCGAATCCGAGAACCAACAAATTAAATTGGTGTGGCCTAAATGGCAAAAAAAATTTGGGAAAATGATACCAATGGCGTAGAATACCAAAGTCAATTCCAAAGGAAAAGAAGAAAATGTGCTTGCATCAGTTTCTGGGTTCGCAGAGGATGTCATCCAAATAAATTACAATCAAATCAACATGGCCTCAGAAAAAAAAAGAATCAGGAGATCCCGAAGACCAAAACATTGCATTGCTGTGGCCTGTATAAATTACACTATCTTTTTTTTATATCAGTAAGACTCTAGTCCTGGTCCCATATCTCCGGTAAGACCGGTTGTTTCTTCAGGATGGCCTTACAGTCGTTGTGCAGACATTTCTCCACCACCAGACCGACGTCCCGTACCTCCGTCAGCTTGCCCATGAGCCTGGGGAACATGAGCGGCTGGTCGGGGTACGACACCTTACAGTACGCCTGCAGGCACTCCAGGTACTGGGCCTGAGACTTCTCCAGCGCGGACACGTTCACGATGTTTGCACGATCTGGAAGATTCCACAACAACAATCTTTCTTTACCGTACTTACTTCATTTAAATCCTCACTGATAAAATTACTACAGCAACTTTCATAACGTCTACTTCAACTATACATACAAACAAGTGCATACAAATGAATGAATAAACACATACAAAATATATCAATAAATCAACATGTTGTGTTTCACATATTACTATGCTACTACATGCAGTTTTAAGGTCTACCACACAGAAATTCCCTTACTCTGGAATCCCATTTAGTAATCAACTTTATTTCAATGGAGCTATGTATTTTGAAATTAAAGCACTCCAGCCTACATATAGTGACTGGAAAAAGTAAAATTTGGTCAAATAGACAGATATATGCCAGGGGAGTTGGTCCTCTTAGTGAACAGTTTGCCACCCCCAACGCTACTCTCTCCCAAAGCCTGGTATCGGTATAGCACCAACTATGAAAACTACTACATGTGAATGGTAACAAGCAATTAACGCAGGTACTTTCATTACAAACCTGGAGACAGGACCACCACAGTGAGGAGCAGGTAAAAGGTGACAGGGTCCAGGTTCAGCCTCCAGATGCCTTCAAACCACTTCTTAAACGCCGTCATGGATTCCTCACTGTACACTGTGGGAAGACAAGTTGGCATAATTACTCTCTCTCACAAGTCTCCTGTATATTGGGAAATTCCTATTATAATTTCTGGGTACCTAGGTATTGTTTTGGGCATAGAATTGGCAATTCTAACAGCAGAGGTCCCAATTTTAGTTAGTAAATTTTAAGATAATATTTTATTATCATGGAAACAGCAGCTTGCTCATTCCTCAACAAAGACTGGAGTTGTACAGTTGAAAATTTGGGTATTTCTTGTGTTGGAAATTGCAGTTAAAACTTGTTTCATAATGACTTCTACCAACACAGATGAACTTTCAAGATAAAATTTTAAGATATTAGTTTAAAAGACTGTCAGTAGTTTTCAACTTTGATTCATGTCACGTTAGATCAATGGATTGACTTGAAACTTAGGACATGGCCTCCAGTCAGGATCTCTACAGGTAAAATAACCAACTCTACCAAATCAGAGTCTCCCTTAGACATGCATAATCAAACAATAATGTAAAGCACTACTTACTGGTAGATAGCAACCCGTGTAGGTCCTGAAGTCCCAAACCAGACTCTTTGAAGACTAGGCACACCCTTATCAAAAAGTATTCGAATATGGACCCCTGGAATAACAGGCAAAATGCTTCATATTATTCCACTATGTCTTCCAGTTTTTTCTTAGAAAAGAGTGAAATTTACAAAATGTGGAGAATAAATGGCCAGGGGGAAATGGCCATTGACGCTATTTTTGCTGAATTCTATAATCCAACCTCACATAGCAAGGCATAGTGAAGGCTAGAACATTGCAATGTGGAGGAATCTAGGTTTGATGTACGATGTATCATTTACAAGGACTTCCTAAGGGGGTTTGGTTAGTAGAATTTGGAGAAATAGAATCAAAGGCCAGGGGAGTAAGTTGGTCTGCCTTTAGGGCTTCATTTTCACTTAATGAAGTCTATGGTGGCCAACTATTCTCCATATTAGGCTAACTTTTACTGTTTTTGAATCCGTGTTGTTATTCTGGTGGGGACTCGATAAGCGGAGATCCAAACTATGAATATGATGACAAGTTTGAGTGATCTTACTTGCCAACGGGAAAAAACATTGACACATCAAACAAAATCTGCGACTGTCAGAACAAATTGCATTGGACTGTATTGTATTGAGTATTGGACTATGACTTTGTTCGACACATTGGACTCTTGTGCTTTTATCTTTACTGTATGTTGTCCTCCTTTGTTTTACTATATGTAATATGTCTTGTCAGGCCTCGAAATTAACTTTTTTTACTATTGTCCCAGAATTGTCCCGAAACTAGATTTCAATTGTCCCGAATTGAGGATGGACTGTCCCTGCCTGCTTTTCAGGAAAATAAGTTTATGACAACAATAAGAAAACAACGACAACTGAATTTGTGCAACATGATAGTATCATGGGCATGGCACCATCTTTGAGGCCCCCCTAGAATCCCTGATTGGTCAAATTTAAATGTTTGAACATAAATTTGAATATTATGGGCTGCATGGATGGATTGCATTTCTAAATGACATGGACGGTCTCAGTTGCCCCGAAATTGTCCCGAAATGTAATTTGAATTGTCCCGAGCTGAAAATTTAGTGTCATTTGACACTGGGACAATGTTAATTTCGAGCCCTGCTTGTCTTAAATTTATAACATGCTGGGCCCCCTCAGAAAACAGCTATTGCAGACTGAATGGGTCCACCCAGCCATCCTGAAATGAAATAAATAAGGCCATGTTGATTTGATTATATGGATGACATCCGCGCGCGCATGAATTTTCGGCCGTTTCCAAAAAAAAAAAAGTTTTCAACCATACTGTAAATCGTACAAAACTGTTGCAAAATGAGCAAAAATATACCGTAAGTTACAAAAAAATAAATAAAAACTATACCAATGTCGCAGAATGCCAAAATCAAACGAAAAAAGACGAAAATTGTAAAGAAATGAACTTGAAGACTAGATAATTCGCCAAACCATATTCTGTCCCATTTGTTCAACCCTCATGACCACGTAGATTTCATAATGAAAACAACTTTTTTTTTGCAAAACTTTTTTTTTATTCGCACGCGCGCATCAGTTTTGGGGTTCCCGGAGGATGTCATCCATATAATCAAATCAACATGGCCTAAACAAACAAACTTGCCTTGACCACAGCCACCTGGTCCTCTATGGAGAGGTCGTTGAAGCCTCTCAGTGTTTTGATGAAGGCGATGACTTTCCCTACCCCGTTGTTCATGTGCTTTATCTGGCACATCCTCTTCTCTTCCACCGTCTGGCAAGCATTCGTTTCCTACGTGGGCAGAACAACACAGGCTGAGGTGGCTAGGCCACGTTTCTAGAATGCCAAGGCAAAGACTGCCAAAAGTGGTGTTAATGTGGTGTCCACAAGGAAAAAGGAAGAGGGGCGGTCAGAGTATGACGTGGAGAAAAACAGTGGAAAGAGACCTTGCAGTGATGGGTTGCGAATGGGAGGGGGCGCAACGAGCAGCACAAGACAGAGGAAGATGGAAAGCAATGATGGCCCGCCTCAGCAGTAGCTGATATGCGGTGGAGCGGTAGGTAGGTAGAACAACACATTAAAACCTATATTGGAGAGACTGAAAGATCCCTCAAGGCTAGGTTCTTAGAACACAAACGACCTAGCTCGACTACTTCGGAGGTCTCACAACATATACATATAGAATCGCCTGGACACTCAGTCTCACTGGACAAAGTAAGAATCTTGGACTCAGAACCGGATTTTTTTGCACGAGGGATTAAAGAGGCCATCTACATCAGGGCATTACAACCATCCCTCAACAGAGACGGGGGGCGCCACAGACTTTCTGCAACCTATGATCCACTGCTCACGGAGTCACGTGTGTTATCTGCGTGACGTCACGGAAGCGGTGGATTGTTCATTCTTTGACAAAGACTGGAGTTGTACAGTCAAAAATTTGGGTGAGTCCAATTTCTTGTGTTGGAAATTACAGTTTAAACTTAAATACATGATAGGCTTAGTGACACAGCCTATCCAAGAGGGTAGATGATGATGATGAGTTGTCTTCTTCTTGAATTTGTTTTAATCTGATAGAACTAGATTTTGTGGCGTCTGTGTGGTGTAGTGGATAGAGCGTCCGACTGTCAAGCAAGAAGACCCAGGTTCAATCCCCAGGGTTGGACCCAGACATGTCCGGACATGCACCCAGACGTTGTGCCCTTGGGAAAGGCACTTAACACGTATTTCCCCCCTCAGTTAGAGGGTTCCTGGGCCCTACTAGGGTTTGGGTTGGCGTTAGGAAGAGCATCCAGCCGTAAAAATCTTGCTTCAAAAAAAGACTTGTACTTGGTGCAAGCACGTCTAACCCCCGTTTGGGGAAAAATGACGTTAAATTACGGTTTAAAAAAAAAAAAAAAAAAATTGTTACAAGAGTGGAACTCATTGCTACAAATTACAAA